GCATCTTGAACAATGCTTTGGTTGCAAAGCATACGGTTCAACGCAATCGACACCATAATCTTGCACTAGCCTGCTTGTACCAGATGAATCACCATCACAGCCTAGCTGATACTGTATCAGAGTGCATTTAATGCCAGATCCCTTTGGTTTCGAGGTGGAAAGCATGTCTGTGACAATACGACGCAAATTCGGCAAGGCTAGTTTTGAGTGATGCCAGCCACGACCTTGTTCGTTGTCACACGCACCACAGATGAAATCGCAAGTTCATCTGACTATTTGCATGGATTGAACGAGACAGCTGTTCGAGCTCTGAATGGCTTCAAATTGCATTAACAGATAAATTTGTTTGGTGTTAAAGCCCCCACTGTTTATTCTAATTTACGGCAAAAAAATCGAGGTCAAGCAGCTCGTCGACTCGTGGCCGGTCGAGAGGATCTTTGCTTAGCATGGCCATGATGGCTTCGGCTGCCTCGTCCGAGATCTTGATGGGCGGGAGATTCTTTCCGTAGGTGCTAGTGCGGAGTCGGTGCATTCTCCGGCTGATGTCCAGCTCCAGGATTTCCTCGTCGTTGGCAAACGGATCCATCTTGAACAAAAGCACATACAGCAGCGTCCCGAGTGCCCAAACCTCCTGGTGGGCCAAGACATAGGGGTTCCCGCACAGCGCTTCTGGCGACGAAAACTTTTGGGTGCCGTAAAAGGTTGTGGTGGGGGTCAAAGTGAGGGGCATGGTGCTTCCAAAGTCAATCAGCTTGATGTCCAGCGTCTTCTTGTTAATCATCACGTTCTCGTCTGTCTTGTTAGCAGGAACAGCCCACCCTTGATGTCGTTGTGCGAATAGCCGAGCGAGTGCATTTTCTGGATCGTCTCGCAAACGCTCTTGAAAATCTTGCAGGCCGTCGCTTCCTCCACCGGTCCAAAAAACTCGATGTAGTCGTACAGATCAATCCAGTCCTGGCCCAAGTATTCCATTATTATAATATAGCGCTGTCCCATTGCGTAGTGCTCGTGGTACTGGATCACGTGGTTCAGGTGCAGGTCTGTAAAGGTCTTCATCATGTTGATTTCCAGCGGCAGCTTGTGGTTTGTTCTACTGTTGCACCAATGCCAGACGTTGGAGGAGTGGATGAATTTTGCCACCACCTGCGCATTGTCGGCATTTCTGGTGGCCAGACGAACGGTGGAGTGACCGCCGGTGCCGATTTGCTTCACGATCTGGACACGTAAGCGAAGCGTCCTACCGTGTAGTTTTTGAGGAAGCGGGCAATCTCCCACTGCGCAGCGGTGTCGTCGGCAAACTCGTCTTCTTCCAGATTGTCAAAGATCTTGAGCTTGGCAGGATCCAGCTCGGGAACCTTTTCCTTGGCCGCCTTCACCTTGCTCAGGTTGTACAGCCGCTTCAGCAGCGGTGTTTTCTTTTGGGGCTTGAATGAGGATAGCTTGATCGAGCCCAGCTTGGGGATCTTTGTGTCGGCAGCTGGCGAGGGGGACTTGATGGCCGGCTTTGGTATTTTGGTGTCGAGGGCCAAAGAGTGCTTGGTTCGAGAGAGAATGTCTCGCAGGAACCCCTTCTTTTCCTCCTTCTTCAGGGACAGATCCGAAGCCGATTTGCGAGCTGCTTCCGAGAGCCTGGCAAACGTCGCCTCGCTGTCTTCGGCATAGCCGGTTTCTCCCAGCTTGGGACGCTCCCGCTCCAGGGACGAGTTGTCGGTCTCGTAGTCTTCGGAACCCTCGTCTTCTTCGGGAATGGCCTCCATCGCTCGCGGACTCTCCCCGCTTGAGACTAGCGACGGGTCGGAGCGGGTCGCGAGAGACACCCCCAAGTCCACCTCGTCGTCTTCCGCTACACCCAGAGCCACGCTCTTGGCGTTTTCGGCTGGGAGGCTTTCCCGCCATTTCTTGAGGGGGTTGACGGGGGGCGTGGTAAACATCCCCGTGCTGTTGGATTTGGCAAACACGGCTGGCCGAGATATGCTGCATTGGCTCAGTGGTGAGTCAGTATTCCATTTCTTCATTGCCAGCGTGGACAGCTGGGCTGGCAACTTTGCGGGCAGATCCACAAACGAATCCAGCGAGTGATTGGATTCCGTCTCTGAATCCTGAGACGTATGAGAAGAAACGCGACGCTGACAGTCGAGAGCAGAGTCGTCGCCGGTCGGGTCTACCGTTAACGATGGCAGCGTTACTTCGTGGAGTCGACTCCGCGCTGGTCACTAGCTCTGTGCTCAAATCCGCGACCTTTAGCAGCGGTAGTTTTGCCGTAGCAATGGAATCCCGGGCAGCCAGACTTGGTTCAGACATTTCAGCGCAAGACGGGTGACTTCACGGAGACGTCAGCGTCTTTGAAGCCAGAAAAGCACGTTTGAGTTTGCGATTTTACGATCTTGAAAAGTTTTTGGCAAAGTTTTCAACCAAAAAATGTCAACAAAATACGAAATCGATCGTCAGCCTGAATCAGACGTCAACATGGATCAACAGGAATTGGGCTCAAAACAGAGAAAAGGTCGTGGGTTCCTGCAGACCAGAGGTACGTGGGCTAAGCTTGGCTGGAGGACTGGAGGACTCACTTGAATGGCTGACTGAAAGAGCGGGAAGCTGTCTTTACAGAGGGTTTCGATAGAGTGGAAACATCCCAGGGAAAGGCCCAAAAGTGTACGACCGAGTGGGGATAATCCGTGTAGCGGTGGAAGGGTGGATTGTGTTGGTCACCAATGTCCATGAGGAATTGACTGAAGAGGATTTGATTGAAGTGTTTGCCGACTTTGGTCCCGTAAAGAACCTGCATTTGAACCTGGACCGACGAACCGGCTATGTCAAGGTGGGCATTTATTACCGAATCCATGCGAGTGGAGCCGGAAATGACTGATCTGTGGGGGATGTCCCCGGCGTGTTGCACGACTTTTGCTGCGTGGTTCACCGCTAATCTGGTAGGGATACGCACTGGTCGAATACCACGAGCTAGAGCAGGCCAAGGCCGCCATCAAGGGCTTGGATGGATACGATCTCCAGGGCCGCAAGTTGAGCTGCGACTACGCCTTTGTTCGCGGCCAAACTGCCTCATCTTCGTCCCAGTCGTTCAAACCATCTGGGTCTGGCGGAGGGCGCCGGGACCGTCATTAATTCCCGTAGTGGTAGCACGCTTAATGAACAGTGTTTTTGTAACGAAGCATGAGATGGTTGGCTTGAGCAAACCAAAATGCAGCCATCCAAAAGATGCCTCATGCGAGCCTTTGGCCAGGCACTGCCGCACTCACATCCTAATTTATTCAACGGCAGCACCACCGATATCACCCCGGGGATTTCCGCACTGGAGTATGCGTCGCGGCGAGCCAAAATCATTTCAAAACTGCCCTCGAAAAGTCTTTGTATCATTCCTGGGTATGGGCTCCGCTATGCCACCAACTCTATATTCTATCCTTTTCATCAGCAGACGGACCAGTTTTATGTGTCGGGGTTCAATCAGCCCGATAGTATGCCACACACGACCTGATGCATAGGTATGTGACGGTCTGCTGGCTCACTCTTGCGACTAGGTGCGATGGCTAGCTCGCTCATCCTAGGTGTTACCGTTCTTGCCTCTCCAGATTTGGGCACCAGTCCGTTTACCATGTTTGTCAAGCCGTACGACCCCAATACCGAAATCTGGGATGGCCCCTGTGTAAGTTTTGTAAAGATTGACAGTCAGGCGGGGCTAGACGGCGCACGAGCCATATTCGGAGCCGATGAGGTAGTCGGCGTGGCCGTAATGGTGCGTAGGCTTTTACTATTGCATCGTTTGAAAGCACACTCAAGAGCATGGTTCAGAAGCTGGGCATCAAGACTATCCTGACCGATCTCCCGCTCCTGGAGCCTGCGAACACATCGCTGCTGCGGGAAACGCACATTACTCTAGGCGGCTCGGCCACGCACCAAACCAAGATCGAGGCGTCTCCCGAGCTCGCCCGGGCTCGTCTGGACCCGCCGTCATCGTCGTGGTTTTCGTCGTCGCCCAAGGTCAAGCCGCTGGGCGGCCTCATCGAGGAGCTGCGGTGCGTCAAGAGCAGCTCGGAACGCGACTTGATGCGAGAGGCAGGACGGATTGCCGGCCGCGCATTTGTCCAGGCCATGCGCGACACGCGGCCAGGAGGAATGGAACAGCACATCCATGCCACGCTCGAGTACCACGGGAGAATGAATGGTGAGTGACCATTGCTGACGATACAGGTATGTTCTGGTGCTTGGTTGACGGCCAGGTAGGACAGCACGCCATTGACAAGAGGGGCAACGGGTCTGTCGTACGTTCCGGTGGTGGGAAGCGGCACCAATGCGCTCACGCTGCACTACGTCCAGAACAACTGCCAGCTGCGGGACGGGGACATGGTCTTGGTTGATGCCGGTGTCGAGTACAACGGCTACGCCAGCGACATTACACGAACCTGGCCCATCAACGGCGTCTTTTCGCAGGCCCAGCGAGAGCTGTACACGGTGGTCTTGAGGGTACAAAAGTCTCTCATCAAGGTATGTAGGGCAGGCGATTCATTGCCGTAGAAAGCGATTGTTGGCGAGGTTACGCTAAACTCTTTGCAGCACGACACCTTTTCCATGCTGCGACAGGAGCTGTCTGCCTTGTTTGGCCGGACGATTGGCATCCGGGAGATGGACAAGCTCTATCCCCACCACGTTGGCCACTGGATCGGGCTGGATGTCCACGACACCTCCAACATCTCGCGCGGCAGACGACTGGAGGAGGGAAACTGCATCACCATCGAGCCCGGCGTCTACATCCCCAACACTCCGGAATACGGCCCGTACCGAGGCATGGGCATCCGAATCGAAGACGATCTGTTTATTTCGTCCGACGGCCCCATAGTGCTGACGGCCGAGGCTCCCAAAGAAATCGACGACATTGAACACATCATGAAGAGGTAGCCCAGCGTCAATAAAAGCCTTTGCCAGCTCCGCAGGTCAAGCGTAGTGCAGGCCGTCCTGGTCAGCATCAAGAAAGCAAACAAAAAAAAAAGTGGAGAACCTCGGCATTGATCCGAGTGCCTCTCGCATGCTAAGCGAGCGCTCTACCATTTGAGCTAGATCCCCGTTGAAAACGACGCTTTTTTAACGCTCATAAAGATGCCACTAATCGAAATCGTCGTCGATTGCCCGTCGCTGTCGTGCTAGTAGCTGATGCTGTGGATGCCGATGACGGGATTCTCGGGTCGCCGGCAGCACCAGCCACGGGTGGCGGAAGTTTGCGGACGGCACAAACACGTTTCCTGGCGAGTGACTTGGCGGAGGATCACCTTCGGAGCAGCCGTTTGCCGAATGAAACTTTCGCTACTGTCGTTTATGCAAGCAGCCATAACCATGTACGATCAACCGATATATTCCCAGGACCAGCCTTTGGTTGCGGGCCATCGGGGAGCGCCAGCGTACTATCCAGAGCATACCATTGCCTCGTACGTCAAGGCCATCGAACTGGGGGTTGACATCATCGAGCCAGATCTGGTTATCACCAAAGACAAAGTTCTGGTGGTTCGACACGAGCCAGAAATCAGCGGGACCACCAACGTCGCCTCGCTTCCGCAGTTTGCGCATCTGCAAACAACCAAGAACCTCGACGGAACCAACCTGACTGGCTGGTGGGTCGAGGATTTTACGTTGAAGGAGCTAAAGGAGCTGCGGGCTGTAGAACGAATCCCTGCCACCCGCCCCAACAACACCCGCTATGACGGACTGTACGAAATCCCAACGTTCCAAGAAGTCATTGACCTGGCCAAGGCAAAGTCGATCGAGACTGGCCGCACGATTGCAATATGTACAACGGGTCGTTGCTTACGACTAGATCCCGAAACAAAACACCCCTCCTTTTTCAAGCTGCAGGGCATCACCGACTTTGACGACCTGGTGGTCGAAACCCTCCACAGGAACGAACTCAACTACAAAGGCGCTCCGGTCTTTCTCCAGAGCTTTGAAGTGTCGAATCTGCAGTACCTTCGAAACATCACTCCCGTCACCCTGGTGCAGCTGATAGACAACTCTGGCGGCCGGCCCTACGACTTTGTGTTGGCGGGCGAGCAGGAAACCAGAACCAACGATGACCTGGTTACGCTCAAGGGCCTGACATCTATTGCCGAATATGCCGACGTGGTTGCGCCGTCCAAAAACTATATCATACCGCGCAATACCGACAACAATCTAGGCAATGCTACAAAGCTGTGCCAACATGCACACCAGCTTGGCCTCAAGGTCCACACATTTACCTTCCGACCAGAAAACTATTTTTTGCCAACCTCCCTCGAGGGCGGAGACGGTGCAGACGCGACTGCCCATGGCGACAGCGAGGCGGAAATCTATGCCTTTTTGGAGGCTGGACTGGACGGGTTCTTTACCGATGCTGGCGAATATGGTCGCCGAGCTGTTGACCGATTCATGGCCAACAAGAAAAAGGGGATTTCAAACCTTGACAAATTTAAATCTGCACACAAATAAATTTGTGAATGTTACTCTAACAAATATAGTAGTGCTGAGTGCAATCCAAGATGCAAGCAATATCAAGCATGATCGTAAGGGTTCATCTGGTATCTCGTACCGATGCCAACGTATTCAATCTACATTCTGGTGCATTTATCAAGAACTCTGTTCAATGTCAACATTAGATTTGTTGGCTGACATATTTCAACTTGTTGCACTTTGAACCCCAGAAACACTAGTCCAGATTTTCTCACAGTAAATCTCGCAGAATCCACTCCCTCACAGCGACACATCGACTGCAGCCATCTGGCCAAGTGCCCTCCATCCCTTGCTTGTGTGGCAAACACCGGCTGCGATGGACACTGCAAGTTGTGCCACAGCTTTACCCAAAACATGACACCATCGCCCTTTGCAGTTTCTTCTCTGTTGGCCTCAGGATACCAACAACCACTGACCCGAGAGTGGAATGAAGATGCCACCACCGTCGCTGCCTCGCATTTGATGTTTCCTATTTTCATCCACGAAAAGGCGGGAAAGGAGGAAATTAAGGTAGGCGCAACTGATATTGACTCTAGTCTCTGCCCAACCAGTTCAGGTACAACGGCGGCAAATTGACGTCTCAGGTACCAATGTCAAATCTCATCAGGACAGGCAAGCCAGGGGCGAGGACTGACCCCAGGTACGGCCTGGATGTCTTGAAGGCGGAAATGGCACCGTTGGTGGAAAAGGGGCTGAGGAGCGTGCTGATTTTTGGTGTACCCGGAGCCGCCTCGGCCAAGGTTGCTCTGCCACAATGACCAACAGCTAGGTGTGCCTGTGCAGTGAGCTTACCGCAAGGTGGGATGGCTTCCGTTCATTCCAGGACGAACGAGGATCTTGTGCCGATGCTCCAAATGGCCCAGTCATCCAAGCCATCAAGCTGTTTCGCAAAGAGTTTCCTCAAGTACTTGTTGCCTGTGATGTCTGTCTCTGTGCCTACACATCGCACGGTACCGCTGCTGCTTTGACGACAGGACACTGTGGAATCTTGACAAGCGAGGGACTCAACAACCAAGCCTCGATTGAAAGGCTGGCCGAGGTGGCGGTCTCGTTTGCCAATGCAGGTACACTCCGGTGTGGTTACGTTAGGCTGCCAGTTAATTGCCCCCTCAGACATGGTAGCAACTCGCGCTAATAGCAGATGGACGGCCGTATTTCAGCCATCAAACACGGACTCGTGGCTGCCGGATTCGGAACTCGCGTTGGAGTCATGAGCTACTCTGCCAAATTTGCCAGCGCCTTCTACGGCCCATTCAGGTGCTCAGCAGCCCAGCTAACCATAGGGATGCTGCAGGGTCGGCGCCAAGCTTTGGAGATCGCAAGTGCTACCAGCTGCCTCCGGGTTCGCGAGGACTGGCCAGACGCGCATTGGTAAGTTGGACGCCGTCCTAACAAGCCAGCTCCGAGACTCTCAAGAAGGCGCCGATGTATTGATGGTCAAGCCTGGCTATCCCTATCTTGATATAGTCAGGGATGCCAAAGAACTGTGTCCTGACCATCCCATTGCGATTTACCAGGTGAGCGGAGAATATGCCATGCTCTACCACGCTGCCCAATCTGGAGTGGTTTCCATGAAGGACGGCGTCATGGAGTCTCTCGTTTCTGCACGAAGAGCCGGAGCCACGATTTTGATTTCGTACTTTACTCCATTGGTGCTGGAGTGGCTTGCGTCCAAGTAAATAAAGCAGTTTATTAAACATCGACAGACTCG